AATTACTGACTAGGCTCCTCACATAGACCAGGCTAGCCTCCAGCTCATCCTTGAACTTCTGATCCTCATGCATCCAACTCTCAGATACTGGGACTACAAGCAGACACCACCATGTCCAGCGTGTGTGATGCTGGGTATCAAACCCAAGAATTCATGCATGCCGGACAGGCACAATACCAACCGAACTAGGTGCCTAACCCTCAGATACTTAAGTCACATCTATGCCAAATAAAAATGCTGGTGAGATTTGTTTTGTCCATCAGCAGATGAACAGATAATGAAAATAATGATACATCTTTAAAATGAAACACTATTCACCTCTAAAAAAAAATTGAAATTAAAGCCAGGCGGTGATGGCGCATGCCTTTAATCCCAGCACTCAGGAGGCAGAGGCAGGCGAATCTTTGTAAGTTCGAGGCCAGCCTGATCTACAAGAGCTAGTTCCAGGACAAGCTCCAAAGCTACAGAGAAACCCTGTCTCGAAAAAAAAAAATGAAATTATAAAATCTACAGAGAATGTGTAGATTTAGACTGTATAATATTAAGCAAGGTCATATAATTTCAGAAAAGAAAAAACTGTGTTCACTTTCATATGGGGTTTCCAGCTTATTATAAACATGCATATATGTAAACAAATGTACATGTGGATACAGTGTAACATATAGAAAGGAAAACAAGAAAGGGTAAAAAATCAGGTGATGAGAAAGACCTAAAAGCAAGGTAATGAACTCATGAAAAAGATATAAAGCTAATTGTTTATCTAGTTTTAATGCTGACATAAATTTTTTGGAGGGGTTGGCACTGCGTAAGTATATAAATATGTATTTGAGAATAAAAATATAAAATCCAGTGCGGCGCTTCACAGCTTCAGAATTCTGTATAGAAGTTCACTGAATGCATGAAATCTCATCAACGCAGCTACCTGAACAGTGATGACACCAATTGTCACACTCACGTGGAAGTGCAAAAGCTCTCAGGGCCTCCACCCTAGAAAAAGAGTTACAGGCAAGTGGGGCACGCTGAGGTAGGGAAAGTTCCCCCCAATTGGTTAGCCCACACCAATGGTCTGTCCCTGAACATATACATATAGGTTACAGGTAACATTAACATTGTATGTACTGAGATGGTTGTATTTATGCACTTAGGAGTGTATGTGGTGGTATGGTGGCTCACATCTCTAACCCTAGCACTTAGGAGGCAGAGACAGGTGGATCAAGGCCAGCCTGGTCTAAACAGTGAGTTCCAGGGCAGCCAGGGCTACACAGAGAGACCCTATCTTGAAAAAACAAAAAGAGAGAGAGAGAAAGAGGGATGTATATATAGATTTTGCATTTGATCAATTCTGATGCGTGATGATTTTATTTGTAAGTTTATTATAGTAAAATTTTAATAATATTTTTAAAGAATCATAAATGACCTTACTTTAGTTCATGTCAATCTCAGCTGCCAAATAATTTTTTTTTTAAAGGCGTAGATTACAGCATTCTTGGAGTTCTTACTGGTCATTCTCCTCACTTTTTAGGAATAAATCAAAGAAAGAGAGGTGAAGTAACTAGCTCAGATTCGGGCCTAGTCCAAGGAAGCGATCGGTGGGATGTTTCAGTGCTAGGCCTCTTTACCAGCAAGTGTAAATTCCCAGGTTCAAGCCCCAGCCCTTCCAGACTTTTTCTTGTAAAACCACCTAGTTTAAAAAGGCTACTCCAGCCTCCAGCCTCCAGCCTCGTCGGGTAAATTCCCCTGGTGGAAACTGAATTCCTTCCTTGGGGACTCGCTACTTGGGACTCTCAGAGGACAGAGGTGAGAATTCCGAGAAATCTCAAAAGTTCTTTTCTGAGGTAGAACTCATTGCAAAAGGTGAGAAAATCCAGATCTCAGGTCCCTTCCCGCCGTCAGTCTTGCCCCGGAGGACACAGGCAGCTGGAGGGGCAACCAAGCTGTGCCTGTTCGCAGTTGCTGACCTGGTCGAGTCGCGTGCAACAGTGGCTTTCAGGCCACATATTGTCCTGGTGACATCATTTTTCAAAGCAGCAGTTGGCTCCATTTTGAGTGCAAATGCAGAGTCAGGATGACCCTGCAACTCATTTGTGAATGTAGGCACCATCACCTGTCCTACACAAACCAGGAGGCACAGACTCATGAATTATTCCTACAAGTAAAACAGGCATGCCTGCATCCTCATAGAAATTGACTGGAAACATTCAAGCACATGGGCATATTAAAACCATTAGAAGGGGGCTGGAAAGATGGCTCAGCGGTTAAAAGCACTGACTGCTCTTTCAGAAGATCCAAGTTTGATTCCCAGCACCCACATGGTAGCTCATCCACATGGCTGTAACTCCAGTCCCAGAGGAATCTGACGCCCTCTCTGACTTCCACAAGTACTGCACACATGTGGTCCACAGATATATATGCAAACAAAACACCCAGAGACAAAAATAAAAAATAAAGCCGGGTGGTGGTGGTGCACGCATTTAATCCCAGCACTCGGGAGGCAGAGGCAGGAGGATCTCTGTGAGTTCAAGGCCAGCCTGGTCTACAAGAGCTAGTTCCAGGACAGTTAGGGCTGTTACACAGAGAAACCCTGTCTCAAAAAACCAAAAATAAAATAAAAAATAAAATAAAATAAAAAAAATAAAACAAGCCAGGCATGATTGCATACAACTTTACTCCCATGGACGTAGTGGATTCCAGGACAGCCAGGGCTACATAGTGAGACCCTGTCTCAAAAAAAACAAATGAAACAAAACAAAACCATTGGAGGGTCAGCAAGATGGTTTAGTGCATAAAGATACTTGTTTCCAAGACTGATGGCCAGTGTTGGATCCTTGGTACCCACACGGTAGATGGAAAGAGACAGCTTCTATAAGTTGTTTACAATCTTTACACAATTCCTGTGTGCTAAGGACACACACACACACAGAGGCACACAGTAGACAAATTGTTCTAAAAAGTTTTAAGTCGAAAGAGCAGGTCCATAAATTGAATGAACGTACCAGACTGAGGGAGAAGGGTACAGTCTCCACACCTCCACACCCACACTCCCACAGACCCACAGACCCACAAAAGGAACGGCACCTAACACTGTGATGGGTGGCCTCAAAGGCTTGTCGTCTGGCCGACTACCAGGCACATGCATCAAGGGACCAATACGCAGAGAATATCCGCTCCACACAGGCCCCATTGGTTGATGCAACTTACTTTTGAGGCCATCCTTCTGTCCATATTTCCATCCACCCACTTTTTGAGATAAGTGCTGCGCCTTGCTTTCCTGCGATATGGTGTCTTCTAGCTCAGCCCCGAGGCTCTGCTGGTCTCCAGCAGCTCCTTCGCTGAGTTATTAATATCTAGCCACCCACAGTGACTTGTCAGCTCTTGGCCTCTGTCTTCAATAGGGTGTTCAGAAGAAACTGTTGATTACTAACAGTCACGGGTGCTCTCATGGGAAAAACTAGGACTGCTTGGTAAACTGTAGCCAACGAAACTGGCATCGCTTGCAGATTTGTTGCTTTTTAATGATTCTGACATGCTGACCTATGTTTCTGACACAGCGTGTGAGCGACGTCTGGTTTTGGACATTTCTTTTCTCTCCCACGTCCTTAGCTTTCAGATGATAACTTTGACTCAGTGGACAAAATCCAATCAGAACTAACAAAGAAGGTTGGGCAGACAAGAAGGAAAGATGGGGACCGGTGGACTTTAGGAAGTAGAGAAGGGCCAGGCATTGGTGGTGCACACCTTTAATCTGAGCACTTGGGAAGCGGAGGCAGCCTGGTTCCAGGGCTGCACAGGGAAGGAAGGGGAGGAAGAAGAGGAGGAAAAGGAGGAAGAGGAGGAGAAGAATAAAACTCAGAAGTATTTCTGCTATGTGTGTGTGTGTGTGTTTCTTTTAAGAGTTACCCTTTCAGCCAGGTATGCTGGCACACACCTTTCCTTTCAGCACTAGGAAGACAGAGGCAGGAGTATCATTGTGAGTTCAAGGCCAGCAGGGTCCACATAGCCAGTTCCAGGCCAGCCAGGGCTATATCATGAGATCCTGTCTCAAAGACAAACAATCAAAAAGAGTCACCCTTTTAGGGATGGAATGATTGCTCAGTGGTTAAGAGCACTGACTGCTCTTCCAGAGGACCAGGGTTCAATTCCCAGCACCACACGGTGGTTCATGACCATCTGTTACTCCAGTTCCAGGGGATCAGATGCCCTTTTCTGTCCTCCACAGGCACCAGGCATATACATGGTGCACAGACATACAAGTAGGCAAAACATGCACGTAAAATATAAAAATAAGAGGGGGGCCAAAAGGCAAATTTTAGGTCTGGAGAGATGGCTCAGAGCTTAAGAGCGCTGACTGCTCTTGCAGAAGACCTGATTCAATTCCCAGGTCGTGGCAACTCAAAACTATCTGCAACCCAGCTCCAAGTGATTTGACAGCCTCACACAGACATATATGCAGGCAAAACACCAATGCACATAAACTAAAAATAAATAATAAATAAATAAAATTACACTTACTTATTAAAAGAAGAAGAAGAAGAAGAAGAA